CGCTCGCGTGGCTGCATTCTGGACGAGTTGAAGTCTCCGAATACTCTTCAAAGGCTGTCCCATGTAGAGCGCATTGCAGTAGATCCAGCGGAAAATCCCCAATCTGCTTAGACGGTTGGCAAGATAAGGGACAAAATGGTTCCTAAGCTGCCAGTTCTCGCCACAGGATTGGAGAACTGCAATTAAAGAATCTGGGTTTGCTTCCATTTGCTCACTTTGCAAGCTTTCCGAGCAATGATCTGAAGCACTTGGTTGTGCAGCTTTTTTTAAAAGGGGGTCTTCAGCATCCCTCCTACTTCCCACACCCTGGATCAGCTCTCTCAGGAAAAGGTTTTACAGATAGCTAGACCCAGGGGGACATCGAAAACGTACCTCCTTCCATAGGGAGAATAATAGGTAATTGTTGCACATTTGAATGGACTGGAAGAAGACTCCAGTGTTTCTCACACATTGTAACTAGTAATGGTTTTCTTTTACCTTCACCACTGGTTTGAAACCAAGAGCGTGCATGTGCTTGCTTTGCTCAAGCACAGCACTTCTGTGCATGCGCAGAGCATCCGTGATGACCTCTGGGCCGGTGGGCGGACTCTCCAGTCGCCACCACTACCGGTTCACCCGAACCAGGGCTAACCAGCAGAATATCTCTGATTATAACCTAATACATTGTAATGCATTATGGCATCCTAGTGGCCCACATTCTGAGGTAAAATAAGCTATTCCTATAATAAATACCATGCTGTTGTTCAAGACATAAGGCCCCTTTTATTCCTTCAAGCCTACGATTTATGTCTCACATACTAGTTGGCAATTCCCTCAACTTTTCTGTGAGATCTTGCCTCTGTTGAGAATATGAAAGAGAATAATTTAGTCCAAAGGCCAAAAGCATTCTGGCCATTTGGGAGATTTCCAAGACAACTTTTTTCGTTTTTAGTTTAGCAGGGTCAAACATTTGGATGAGGAACTGGTAAGAAATCTCAGGGTTGTAGAAAAGACACATGGAGAGGGGAAAAAAATCCTAAAACATAGTTGGCACATCATTTCTACCAGAGGACACTCCTCTTTCTGTTATTGTGATTTGCAATAACATGGTTTAAAAGATTAGTCCCACTTCCAGATTTCACTATAAAAAGTGAGAACAATGCCTTAAAGGAACAAAATATATGATTACAGGCACCCTGAGTAGGTGATCTCCCATTATTTCAATCACATGAAAAGGAGAACATTGGGTCTCCCTTTTAGCACTAAACAGACACCTGTAACTTAGGAAAAGAATCTGAAATTCATAGCCAGTCTTCTTTCTTCTCAACCTTCCAAATCCTAGATTTGTGTTACTGATATTCAACTGCAAACCATCAAAGGACCAAGTTTTTATTCTATTTGACACTTCCAAATTATCAGGTAGGAGAAGCTCAGCTATCTAATCCAAATCCATCTGCCCCATTCCCTTGTGACACTGTCTCTCTGATTCTCAGATGCTAAAAACATGTCCTCAAATAACAACTGCTGGCCCCAAAGCACTCCTCTAGCCTTCCCCTAGTTGGACAAATACATTTTGCCCCAATCATTAGTTCTCTTCCTTCCTACAAAAGTCATAGAGCCATTTCTGGCTACTAGCCTCAGTTCTAGAATGCCATGACAAGAAATCGGAATGCATTTCCTGTTGTGGCCCAGCAGGAGCCATTGGAGCTGCTGATGGACTCCGATAGCGAGGACCCCTATGAGTCNCCTATGAAGCGGTATATAAGTCTAACTGCTAACTGCTATTATTTTACACTGCACTGAGGAATTTGAAGGAAAATGTGTGTGGGGCTGCTCAAAGACCCAGTCCTGGGTTTTGCAGATCACAGTGTCATTGGGGGTGGGGGGTGGGCGTTTATTACTTATTAGCCAATCTGGATTTTCACTCTTAACTTGCCATACCATTAGGAGTTGTGGACGAACAATGGAGCTTAATGTTTTCTCCTTGTGCATATTAAGAAGAAAACTGTTTGCCTCCAGTTACAATTAACTATCCCTTCTAAAATGGAGAATTGTGGTTTCCTGTTAGCTTATTAAATAGGAACGCCAATCTGCTTAGGTAAATTGGCATCAAACTGCGGTACCTCATTAATATAAGAGCTAACTGACCTAACCAGGCTGCAAGATGTAAGGCAGAGGAACCAATGCTTCCATTGTAAATTAAAGAGACAGCATCTAAACAAGCTGCAGAATATTATTGGCCCTGGCAAAACAAAGGTAAAACCAAAGATTCAAAGATGAACCTGACAGCCCTAATAACAGAAGGCTTGTGCAAGTTCATATGCGGTAGATATATCATTGAGAAGGGTGTTATTGATTGGAAACTACTGCAGTGACAACAGAAGTAATACCAACTCAAACTTCACAATAAAAGAGATTTTGTCCCAGCTGTTCTTGTATGCAGCACTGATGCTCAGTGCAGCTGATCTGACCCTCTTTTTTCCACTTCATGCAGAGCCAGACATATTAAGTCCAGAGTTATTCATATCATGGCAAAGTCACGTGGGTAAGAACGAGAGAGCACCTGCAGTTAATGATTAATCCACACTCTATCAGCCCACCTGAAATTCCTGCTAAGCATGGGAGGCCATCAGCTTTCTCATCTTCTATCAGAAGAAAAGGGCAGCTTCCCCCACTACCACCCTTGTTCATATTAATAAAAATAATTTGATTTTATGATGAAAATTAGGCAACCCACCGGGTGCAGTTATCACAAGAAAATCATACTCAGTGGCATTAGAGATACTTGGCTGGGCCCTGTACTAGATAATTATGCCAGGGATGTGATTATCTCATGATTACTGTACTCTTGATATGTCTCATTGTTTAATTAGAACAAATGTAATGATCAAAATTATTATTATTTACAAATGATAAGCTCTGTTTAAAACTAGCTAAAAATAGGAAGAAGTCACACTGTCAATTAGTTGTTCTACACTTAAATATCTAATGACATACTAAGATAGATGATGCAATTGAGATGAGGAAAAACGACAGACCAGCGGAATGATTATATAGGCAAATAGAAAAGTTATCCTAGTTGACACTTCCACAAAGAAGCAAATTCCAGAAAATTATTACTACTTGGGCAATGTGGGCAGTTAGCTAAGAAATGAAACATCATATTCCTTATGCCATAATGCTTCTGATCTTATTCATTCATACAGGCTTGAAGTCTAACTTTCACTAATCATCTGTCCAATATTATCTTCTACAAACCAATGAAATTTCTGTGAAGATTCTCTGCTAAATTGGTAATTTTCAGATAACATTTTCCGTTTTGATTTATCTGCTGAAATAGTCTGACAGCCTCATGGAGAGGCGGTGTGATATGATAACCTCTAGTCCAAAGATAACAAGTACTAGCTAGATCTAGGGTCAAATATTCCCCAAATGGAAACACATTGGGTGACCTTTAGACATTCACTGGCTGAATTCTGATATAATATGAAATCATAATCGGATCTTATTCGTGTGTGGGCACGTGCCCACACACATACATGCATACATACCTTTGAGTCAACCTTGATTCCTAGCTATTTCTTGGACAATTCCATACAATTTTGTCTGTAAAATGTTTGGAAGTTATTTGCAAATTGCTGGCTTCATGCTTAAGGCAGAATTAGAACTCACAGTTGTCTATCTTCCAGCCATATACATTATCCAAATTATCTGTCATGCTTCCTTTTTGCTTAGCATGAGGGATTGGTTAATGTCTGTCCCATGTAACAAGCAATAGTTAAACAAATTACACTTTAGTGCCGTGATAGGCAACCAGCAAACTCTCTGTGCCCATTCAGCATCCATTTATCAGTGACCCCTGATAAAAAACTAGTTAATGTTTCTTAAATCTGGTGGCATAATTTCCATTTCTTTTGCTTCAAAAATATCCAAAAAAATCTCAGTGAGACCTAGTGCATTTATTCTATATTTAAACTTATCCCTCTCAACTCAACAGTAGCTCTGGATGTTCAAAGCAGATGGTTCAAGGAAAGGAAGTAGTGGAAACAGCAAAGCACAACACAGCTAGAGGTAATAGCAATAGCAATAGCAATAGCAGTTAGACTTATATACCGCTTCATAGGGCTTTCAGCCCTCTCTAAGCGGTTTACAGAGTCAGCATANCTACCTACCTACCTACCTACCTACCTACCTACCTACCTATTTATCTATCTTGATCAAACAAAGCATTTTGGGAAACCTAGTTATTCATATATTCTGCCATCTTTAACTGTGCACATTGGGCAAAACACTGCAGAATAAATAAAATGAATTCTTGAAGAAACGGCAAGGGTTTCCCAGATAAGGAAAGAGGATGCCAAAGCAAGCAGAACTGATTGGGCTGCAGCATGAAAGGCACGCTTTCAATTATTGATCTAGGATGAATCTGACAGGAGCACAAAGGAGTACTCATGAAAATACACAGTACTGGTTGGGCTCGCTTGTCAACGGATTCCTGGATAACAATATGTAGCACAAAGCCCGCTGTACCTACCGGTGGCACACGATCCTTCTGACGCCACAAGTATTTCACTTTGCTGCTTGCAGGCAGCTTGCCTCAGATAGCATTCATTCTGATAGGTGTCGCCATTGGACCCACACACAGGCACATAGTCGCTGTTACACTAATGAGCAAAAAGGAAAAAGAAAACAAGAGACAGTGCAGTTAGTAAAGATATGCACAAATGTGAAGCCCTTTCACTTTTACTTTTCAGGCCCCTGACTGCAGATAGTCGCTAAAGAACAAATTGTAAGGTTGTAATTAACATCCACTTTCCTAAACCTTTCCAGGTAGGCAGCTTGCCCAGATAGAACAAACACAGTCCTCTATAATATTTCAGAGGTTCTGCTAGGATTAAGGGGTTCAGGATGAGTTGCAACCTACCTACCTACACTATATTACTGGTTTTATCTTTCTCTGTTCTTTGTTATTGTCTCCCTTCCCTCAGTGTTTCTGTGGTGTTGTAATCTCATTCCACCCTTTTTCAATTTCTTCTTCCTTTGGGCAAACAGACTCATTTAAAAATTAAAGGAAAACCGAGCAAGGATGCTTATGATATTGCTTGATAAAAATATAAGGGGGGGAAAAAACAGCAAGTATTATAGGTAGAGCAGGTGAAAGATTTGCAGAAACCAGGATTTATCTCTTTGGAATTATTATTATTATTATTACTATTTTTAAAAAAATGCATTTTAATCAATGGGATGGGACTGAATGGGAAGATTTTCAAGCTGGTGCAGATGGGTTCCTGATCTGGCCTCTAAGTAACACAGATGTAGAAAGATGCTCTTTCTAAGAATCAATAATTCAATTCAATTAAAATAAGGTATATCACAACAATTATTACTCCCTATTTAATCCAGGCAAGGCTGTGGACAGAGCAGGCCAGATCTGGATCTAGCTGATATCATGCCTGGAGTATATTTGGTAGCATCCCACAAATATCTATGCCAAATATTTCCTGCCTACTGTGTACACATCAGTACTCTGTCTAATTTCTCCTTGACATAAGGGGGACGTAGTGAAAGTTGACAAGATGACCACATTTCACGGTCCCTTTGCAAGTCACTTGAAGAAGCCAAAAGATTAACCACTGCAGTAATGATTATGGAGATGATGGAAGAGTAGGCACAATCACTGAGTATTGTTCTGCATCAAAGTTTTTTGAAGGGATATTAAATTGTTGCTTGTCTTGAAGCACTGCAATTGCAATTAATGGGGTATTTCATTAGGCACTTAAATATGTGTCCTGATATCATAGATAGTTCCGTTGCCTGGTGATTGTAGAGACAGAGGAATAACTTAGACCACCCTTAAGGTAAACTTGCCCTCTCTCCAAACTAAGGCTCATGGCATTCCCAATCAAGTAAATCTGTGGGACAAGATGGCTTTCTCTCTCCTCATTTCAAATCCAGAAGCCAACTATTAGTCACACTGGGGAAGCTTCTTTCATTACGCCCAAGGATTGTTGCTTAGTTGAGTGAGTAAAACAGGTTGCTTGGCATATCCAGCTATTCTGGTTCTGACACTTGCCTTACAATAGGACTGGCCTTGGTACTTTATAGAGCCGAGGTGGTGCAGTGGTTAAATGCAGCACTGTAGGCTACTTCAACTGACTGCAGTTCTGCAGTTCGGCGGTTCAAATCTTACCGGCTCAGGGTTGACTCAGCCTTCCATCCTTCCGAAATGGGTAAAATGAGGACCCAGAT